CTCTCTCTCTCTCTCTCTCTCTCTCTCTCTCTATATATATATATATATATATATATATATATATAGGATTAGTAGTAGGAAGACAAAAAAGAATCATTGATTAAAATGGAACTGGAGAATGCTTTCTTTAATTAGAAGAAGTCAAATTGAATAGACCAATGTGTAAAGAACTTTTTCCTTTTAATTATAATAAAATAGTGAAAAAAATATTTGATGTAAATTAGCACATCAAATCAAACTAATGTTTCACATCGAAATAACAAAAAAAAAAAAAGGAAAAGGGTGTGTTTTCTTTTTCTTCTTTTACGACCTGTCATTGACCAAATTACCCTCACCAAGTTTCATACTTTTAGGTGAGATTTCGCGATGACTGAAAGGACAATGTAGTAATTTCATGATTACGTCAGTCTTACGATGACTCCTGGCCTGTGAGATAAAACCTTTGTATTTTTCTGTTATGACGAAACCATCCTCGGGCCATAAGATCCAATCGCTTGTGATAATATCTTTACTTATTATTATTGACATTTTATCACATATTAATTGGATGTATATTGTAATGTCTTTAAATCTGTGAAATAAGAATTGAATCACGATAAGATTTTGATAATAAGACCGATTTATCTTTAAACACATACCCTAAGTTATCATAATCATAGGTTATTTAAGAAGGACATCGAGATAACCGGATAGATCGGTTCATTGTATATTCATTCATATAATGGAGGCGGTTGGTCTCATAGTCGCTTGTGTATAAACACTAGATGTATAATGCAAGTGGTGCGTTCAAACACGATTGAGTGTCAACAGAGGATTATCCACTCTCGGTATCGCGAGAGAAATATCTCATGTATATTCGTTCAAACAAAATCTCTAGCCAGGGTCGTTCCGATTAGAGAATTCGATTAGAGCGAGACTCGAATAAGATTTTATATGGGCCTAACATTATCATGCCCAATATACAATCTTTGAGATATTAGATGAATGAGGGATTATAGACACATGATAACTAACGATAGATAGGTTCAATGGATTAGATCTCTTGTATCATTTGGGTACTATGACATAGTAGCTCGGTATGAACATAGTCAATGAGTCGAGTGAATTATTATGAAGATAATAATTCACTATATCAGAAGAAGTTCTGATATGATCGACTCACGACCAACTCAATATCAGACCTAAAGAGCCACACACGTATGGTAGATATTACGACGAGTAAAGGTATGAATATAAGATATCCACAAAGCCCCCAATTTGAATCATATCGATCAAATCAAATTGGATAAGTGGATAAGATCCAATTTGATGATTGGATAGAGATCTAATTGAATAATTGAATATAGATCTAATGAGATTCATAGGTAGAACTGTTGGTGGTCGCCGCCTTGCGGTGTGCGTGGAGAGGGAGATTCCATAGCGATATGAGCGTTATATCCCTTGTGTGGATCACCGCTAGAGAGGAGTACACGAGTTCTCTTTCATCTATTCCATCGAATCTGAAAATTTCGGGGATATACGATCTCCCCAAGTAACACTTCTCACACAATATATGTGATTTTTTTATTTTTACAGTTTTCTCGTGCACCAATCGTCACACAACGACCAAGTACTTAACTTTGGGAAATCTGATTGTCTTTTGTTTTCCGTTGCCCATGATTTCCCAGTAATATATTATGTTTTTGAAAATATATGTATTATTTTACACGTGAGCAAAACTATAAAAACTTAAGTGATCCATGATCAAAATCATATGAGCTAAAATAGATATTTTTTTAAAATTTAATTTATATTTATTATTATATTAATAATTTATTATGAGTTAGCATGGTACGTGAGTAACTTTAACGTTTATTAACTCAGACTTCATGGAAGGAACTTATATGTTATATTTTTAAAAATATAAGAGTTATTTTAGACATAAATAAATCATAAGGGATTAAGTAGCCCATAACCAAAATCGCATGATTTAAAATAGATCTTAACCCTTTTAAATATATATTAAAAGATATAAATTTGAAGATAACTGAATGAGATACATCAGAATAATATTTTAGATATTAATTTTTATAGATAAATGAGTTATCATCACCCTATCAATATTTTAAATAAGAATATTATAAATATTTAAACTATTAATATTTATCATAATAATATTAGAGAAATGCAAACCTTCAAGTCATAAATAAAGTCATATTATTTTTGTGATTTACGAGGATACCCTCCTTTCCTGTTTACTACCATACCAAAGTAATGGTGACGAAGCAGTCAGCCTCGACTGCGGTGACCACACCCGCTCATGTCTGCGGTTTCCGATCTCAGCCACTCGTCCCGTTCTTCGTCCCTATAAATAATTAGTCCTCAATTGACTCACTCCCTCTCTTTCTGCTCATCCAGATTAAAAAACCCCTTTTTTTCGTCCCCCAAATGGCTTCCTCTGCGGCGGCGGCGGTGGCTGCTGCGGGAGCCGTGATCACCCCATCGAAGTCATCCCACCCGCCCTTCTCCGCTGCCTACCGCCTCCCCTTCCCCCTCCCCAAGCCCCTCCATTCACTCTCCACCCGCCACCCCCACGTCCGGCCCATCTCCGCCTCCGCGGACCGCCGCCAGCTCCCCTCCGCTGCCGCCCCCACTGCCGATGCCACGACCGCCCCTCTCCTCCGTAACTTCGCCCCGGATGAGCCCCGCAAAGGCGCCGACATCCTAGTCGAGGCCCTTGAGCGGGAGGGCGTCACCGACCTTTTCGCCTACCCCGGCGGCGCCTCCATGGAGATCCATCAGGCTCTCACCCGCTCGCCATCTATCACCAACCACCTCCTCCGGCACGAGCAGGGGGAGGTCTTCGCTGCCTCTGGATACGCCCGCTCCACTGGTCGCCCTGGCGTGTGCATCGCCACCTCCGGCCCTGGCGCCACCAATCTCGTCTCCGGTCTCGCCGATGCCCTCCTTGACTCCGTCCCTCTCGTCGCCATCACCGGCCAGGTCCCTCGCCGCATGATCGGCACCGACGCTTTCCAGGAGACCCCCATCGTTGAGGTCACCAGATCCATCACCAAGCACAACTACCTGGTCCTCAACGTTGATGACATTCCCCGCATCATTAAAGAAGCCTTCTTCGTAGCCACCACGGGCCGCCCTGGCCCGGTGCTCGTTGACATCCCCAAGGACATCCAGCAGCAGCTTGCCATCCCTGTATGGGACCCACCGCTCCGCCTTCCCGGCTACATCTCCCGCCTCCCCAGGCTTCCTGCACGCCCTCTGCTCGATCAGATCCTCCGCCTGGTGTCGGAATCCCGTCGCCCAGTCCTCTATGTTGGTGGTGGCTGCTTGAACTCTAGCGAGGAGCTTCATCGGTTTGCAGACCTTACTGGCATCCCCATTGCAAGTACCCTAATGGGTCTCGGGGCCTATCCCACCGATGCTGAGCTATCATTGAAGATGTTGGGAATGCATGGGACGGTCTATGCCAACTATGCCATCGATAAAGCTGATCTGCTGCTTGCATTTGGTGTAAGGTTTGATGACCGTGTGACTGGAAAGATTGAAGCTTTTGCTAGCAGAGCAAAGATTGTGCACATTGACATTGATCCGGCTGAGATCGGGAAGAACAAGCAGCCACACGTTTCAATCTGTGCTGATGTGAAGTTGGCATTGCAGGGAATGAATGCATTGATGGAGGAGACTGAGATTTATCGAAAGTTTGACTTTTCGACCTGGAGAGAAGAACTGGACAAGCAGAAGAAGATATACCCATTAAACTATAAGACTTTCGGGGATCAGATTCCTCCCCAGTATGCAATTCAGGTGCTTGATGAGCTAACGAATGGGGAGGCAATCATTACTACTGGTGTTGGGCAGCACCAGATGTGGGCCGCACAATATTACTCATACAAGAGGGCACGGCAGTGGCTGACATCTGCCGGACTAGGTGCTATGGGTTTCGGTTTACCAGCAGCAGCTGGTGCAGCTGTTGGGAATCCAGGCGTTACTGTCGTGGACATTGATGGGGATGGGAGTTTCCAGATGAATGCTCAGGAACTGGCAATGATTCGGATTGAGAATCTTCCTGTCAAGATTATGGTGTTGAACAACCAGCATTTGGGCATGGTCGTGCAATGGGAAGATCGATTCTACCATAGAAACAGGGCACATACTTATCTGGGGAACCCAGCAAATGAGACTGAGGTATTCCCTGATTTCTTGAAAATCTCAGAGGGGTATGGCATACCTGCTGCTCGTGTCACGAAGAAGAGTGAGGTTAGAGAAGCAATCAGGAAGATGCTGGAAACATCGGGGCCTTACTTGTTGGATGTGATCGTGCCACATGAGGAACATGTGTTGCCTATGATTCCAAGTGGCGGTGCGTTTAAAGATATGATACTTGATGGAGATGGAAGAACACCATATTAGTGCTTTTTAAGATAGGTAATCAGTTCAGTTCTGTTGTGGCATTGAGTATCAGTTCTGTTCTGTCGTGGCTTGAACTATGTATTTAGGACACTATAGTACTATCTTTCCTGTTGGTATGATGAGTTTTTCTCTGGCTTTGGTCATATCTATGAACTACGAAATGTTATAGTCATGTCTACGACCTACGAGGACTGGTCAATCTTTTTCTTCCGTCCTGTTGTGTGTTTTGATCATTAGTTATTACATAGTTTGTTCGCTATCACTTATTTGGTATTGCTGGGTGTCCTTGTTGCATTTTCAGGGATTTTGTTTTATAAGCTTAAGAATAATTTCCTGCTTATGGCTTTTTTAAGTTCCATCATTCCATGAGAATATAGCTTCACTTTTTGCTTCCATTTCTTGTTTCTACTTAACTTGTTTAATTCAATATATCTGAAGCTTTTCTCCCTTGCCAATAGAAATGGTCACTGTAATGGTTTATATTTTAGCATGTATTTCATCTAATTCATGTGTACTAACCTAATCATGGAGCCAGGCTGTGCTCGTATGCACGCTGAGATTACTGAATGTGAAACCTGTGGAGGAAGTGC